ACTGTGCACCATGTCCCTCCATCTCCATATGGCCATGGGTCTACCATGAGCTGTGGCCACCACGGACCCTGTGGCCATAGGGCCACCACACACTGCACCATGTCCCTCCATCCTCATCTGGCCATAGGGCCACCATGAGCTGTGGCCACCACAGACCCTGTGGCCGCAGGGCCACCACACACTGCACCATGTCCCTCCATCTCCATATGGCCAAAGGGCCACCGTGCGCCGTGGCCATCGCGGCCCTGTGGCCATAGGTTCTCCACACACTGTGCACCATGTCCCTCCATCCTCATCTGGCCATAGGGCCACCATGAGCTGTGGCCACCACGGACCCCTGTGGCCATAGGGCCACCACACACTGTGCACCACGTCCCTCCATCTCCATATGGCCATAGGGCCACCGTGCGCCGTGGCCATCGCGGCCCTGTGGCCATAGGGCCACCGCACACTGTGCACCATGCCCTCCATCCTCATCTGGCCGTAGGGCCACCGTGCTGGTCATGTCCCTCCCATCTCCATCTGGCYGTGGCCACCACGGACCCCTGTGGCCACAGGGCCACCACACACTGTGCACCATATCCCTCCATCTCCATATGGCCATAGGGCCACCATGCGCTGTGGCCACCACGGACCCTGTGGCCATAGGGCCACCGCACACTGTGCACCGTGTCCCTCCATCCTCATCTGGCCATAGGGCCACCATGAGCCATGGCCATCATAGACCCTATGGCCGCAGGGCCACCGCACACTGTGCACCATGTCCCTCCATCTCCATATGGCCATAGGGCCACCATGAGCTGTGGCCACCACGGACCCTGTGGCCACAGGGCCACCGCACACTGCACCATGTGCCTCCCATCCCCACCTGGACGTAGGGTCACCGTGCACCGTGGCCACCATGCACCCTATGGCCACGTGTCCCCAAGGGCCCCCACATCCCAGCCTGGCCATGTGTCCCCAAGGGCCATGCACCCCTTCTGAGCCACCCAATCTTAACCCCCCCCACCCCAAATGGGCAGGACCAGGAGAGGGGCACAGAGCCACCCACCACCCCCAGCCCCTCCACTGCAATTAGCAGTGGTCCCACGGGGGCAGAGCACTAATTAAGGGGCAGGGCACTAATTAGGGGCAGAGCACTAATTAGGTCATTCCATAACGAGTGGTGAGCACTTGGACCAAGGGGAGGGGAAAGAGAGGGAGGGTGGCAGGATGTGGTGCCTCTGTCCTGCACCCGTGTCCTGCACCCRGCACCCATACCCTGCACCCAGCACCCATACCCTGCACCTGGCACCTGTGTCCTGCACCCGGCACCCATATCCTGCACCTTGCACCCATATCCTGCACCCAGTACTCAT